AGTTGGTTGAATAAGGAAAATGAATTAGCAACAAGAGTTTACGGGATGTACATAGCTCAGTGGTTAACGCTTTTTTTTTTTTAATATTTTTATTGAGCTTTGTTTCCTGCTGAAGTCTAGAAAAAAGAAGTCTGATGAGGAGATGTGGTGATCTCCGAAATAGTGCTATAACTTCTACCGCTTAGACTTTGTTGCTTTTTCAATTTTTCCTAATAAACAATCGTGGTACAAAGCTCAATAAAAATATTAAAAATAAAATGTTAACAAGCCACAATAACATTGACAAATACATAGTTTAGGAAGAGCCTGCCTGAAACTATACAAAAAAGCAAATAAGCAAATGGATGTATAGAATTGACAACAACAACCACGCTGTCGAGTTTAAATAGCGGCAAATCAGCTGCACTTGATAGTAGTTGGTTGAATAAGGAAAATGAATTAGCAACAAGAGTTTACGGGATGTACATAGCTCAGTGGTTAACGCTTCTGACTTTGAACATCGAATACGCAGGTTCGATCCCTGCTGAAGTCTAGAAAAAAGAAGTCTGATGAGGAGATGTGGTGATCTCCGAAATAGTGCTATAACTTCTACCGCTTAGACTTTGTTGCTTTTTCAATTTTTCCTAATAAACAATCGTGGTACAAAGCTCAATAAAAATATTAAATATAGAGATTAATGTTTAGTGAGCAAAAAACTCGAGAGGAGGAAATAGTCAAAGATTCAAAGTAGAAATTTTTTTCTTTTATGAAACTAGTTCATAGTTTATCTCTTTTTACTTGTAAAATAAACATTTCTAAAATAAATGTATTTTATGATTATTTTTCGTTTTTTTTTTAGTGCGTTTTTTGCCTTTTCTGCGATTTCTAGTGCCTTTTCCTGCCTATTTCGCTACTTTATTTTGATTTTTCCAGCCTATTTCGTTATTTTATTTTTCCTTTTTTATAGGTTTCTTGGTCCTATATATCCGTTCCCTGTTTATAACTATGAAAGCAAAAAACTTTTGTGGGAGTCTCCTTTCCATATCCCTCTCAGATATAAAACCGATAGGATACCACTTTTCGCAACTATGGCTTTTTTCATATTTTCACCGATATCTTAGAAACCAGGCCTGACCCAAAGAAACCATTAAGAATCAGGATAAAATTCTATGTCAGAAAAGTTGTATTTGATTCTTGGTGATTTTTTTGTCGAGTAGTGTAATTATTATTTTTTTTATATTATGTGTTTTTATAAGCGTGAAACACAAATGAATAGCCGGTGTTTGGTGTCAAATTCGGACAAACTAGAGCTAGTAATCTGATTTATTCCGAATTGGACTAACGATTAATAATTTAAATTAATTAATCGTAATCACAACCGATGATTAACGATAAAAAAAAAAAATATATCACTGACCGTACAGACTAAGATTTTGCCAACACTGTTTCACAGTTACACAGCTCTGATATTTCTTATGAGAGAAATGTGATTCAACCACACGATAAACGATAAAAATACATTTGGAAATATATATATTTTTTAGTTACAAACCTGAAGTTCTTCTTCTCGCTGATCACTTGCGGAGGCCATAGCTGATTCAACATCTTCGTCACCAACCAGAACATGGCTTAGTTGTTTAGGGTCGAATTGCGATTTTTTCCCGTCGTCTTCTAAAAGTCTGAATATTCCCGGTCGTATTTCGTCTACTATCCCATGCGATATCCAAAACCCAATTCTCCGCCGCAATATTGTAGATGGAACTTTCGTAATCTGACTTAGATCCTCCAACGTCCATTCATCTATATAAAGTTGAATAAATAATTTGTATTCTATCATGTACAAATCTAAAAATTATGATAACCAATTATAAGTACATATTAATAAATCATTATCCAAAACTTGAAAAGAGAGTTAGCGCCACTGTATATTTTGGTGACGTGCAATAATGTCAATTTAATTAATGTCAGTGACATTAATACACAGGCCAAAAGTGAAATAATGCCAATGACATTAACACACGTGCGAACACGGACCGCCGCACATTGGGCAAAAAAGGTTGCTATGGACAAATCAATTTTGAGAGCCCAAATATGAACCGTTTTCATGTTTCTTTTTAAATAAAAGATAATTAAATTTCACGTCAATCTATCCATGGCGATTTTTTAAAAAAGCTCTGGTTTTTAATTTATTTATGTTGGAAAATGAAAGAAAAAAATTTTTACGTTTGAATGCTTCTTTGGAAAATACTTGAAATTAATTTCAAATGTCTGCAATTACTTAAAAAATATATTCGTAAACATTTTTCCATAGGATACATTTACTTAAAAAATTTATTTCATTTGTTATCTATAGTAAAATATATTTTGAAAGCCGTTTTTTTCTGTTTGGAAAACTCGAGAACAGCTATAGCGATATTTTTTTAAATTTTGGACATCGACTCCAGACTATCCAAGGATGATAATAGATGAAAAGCAATTTCGATATATCAAGGGGCGTGGCACCTCCCATACAAACTGAAGTTTTCACACATCACATCTTTAGAAGTATTCATCGTAGAGTGCTGCAACTTTCTACAGAGATATAAATATAATAGGTGTGTTTTTTTACACGCATACGTTTCTGCGCTTAGAATTTGTATGGAGCAGTAAGCGACAAACTTTTTGTGCGCTTATGAATTGTTGTCGATTAAATAAAAATTACTTGTTTTCAAATGGAAATTGTCGGTGCTTGTTTTTTTACACGTTAAGCGTAGATGTATATGCTTGTAAAAAAAACACGGCGAATATCAACGCCGAACTCATGGAAAAAATGGGAGTTATTGAAAAAGTGGGCGTGGCACCTCCCATACAAACTGAATTTCTCACAACACATACACATTCTAATGTGAGAAGTTCAGTTTGTATGGGAGGTGCGACGCCCCCTTTCTCAACAACTCCCATTTTTCCCGTGATTTGGGGATCTAATGGGGGCGTGAAGTGAATCTATAACCTTTCCTTCACAAACGACAACCTAACCCACTGCCCGTCAAGGCTTGGTGGTCCCTGTTATCGCTAACGAGGCTCTGTCGACCGGTGCGAGGCGGTATATCCTCGCTCACGGCTGAGCTACCGTAGCGTGGAATGGACCCGGACTGTACGAGACGTGCATCGACGAATGCTCAGGACGACAAGAACTGACCCATATTGGGCGGCAGGACAATCTTCACCTGGCAGTAGGTATAAAATGGAAGTTGTTCCACCCTCAGAGATGCCATCCCGTACGACAGTGCGAGTGTGGATCCCGCCCCCCTCGTGGAGGACGAGACCTCGCTGGCACTTATAAAATGTCAAAATGTGGATGTCATCTCTGATGACTGGACGATTGTCCGAGGCCGCGCTCGCGACAAAGATAATGGCAAGGACCTGTGGATCAAGATCGATTCACAATCCCTGCAGATCTTGCGTCGCAAAGCCGGTCAGGTAAGATATGGCATTGGTCCCCTTAGGGAGATCATCCCCGACGCGGAAGGTGAATCCGAAAAGCATCGGAGGATCTGCTGCACTTCATGGGTGAGGAAGATGTAGACGTGGCCCTAATTCAAGAACCCTGGCTAGTGGCGGGGAGGGGCACAGGTCTATCCACTATCCGTTTTGAGCCTCTCACCCCACATACTGAAGGTAAAATTAGAAGCTGTATTCTAGCTAAGAAATGCACTAATATTCTCTTTCTTCCCCAATTCAGCGATGCTCAATAATTGAAAGCCAAACCAAACAAAATGTCACGTTACAACCAGGGTAGGCAAAAACTCGGAGTTCGAGCGAGCGAGCGAGCAAACTCCTACTCAATGCCTCGCAGGCAACGAGGCGCTCGCAGTTCGTACTCTTAGCAGCAATGAGGCGAGGCACGAGAAGTTTGGCTTGCTCGGCAAACGAGCGAGCGCCGCTTGTTTGCACGCCCTCCTATTAAACGAGTGAGGCTGCTGTGTGTTGCCTCGCTCGCAGTGCCGAGGCGATTAGCTGTCTGGATACACGCTCGGCTAGGTAAGACGCAAGGTTCATAGAATAGAAGGTTACGACATGGTGCTGTCAAAAATTTGTTTTCCTCCAATGACGTAGTTGCGAAGTGAGTTCTGATTGGCTGAAATATTTTACGAAGAAGGAGCGTACACAAAACGCAAAAATATAGTTGCCGTATAGCATATTTTAGGAGTCCTAATCAAATGGGCATTTTTGATATAAAATCGTGGCAAAGCTTATTATAACAACATAAAATGTTATAACTTCACGTGAAACTGGATTAACATAATAATATTCGTACTATAGTAACAAATCAAATATAAATCGAATGCTTACTGAAATTTGCTGGTGATTTTATTTTTGAAAGTGGGCAGAATGCACTCGCGCGTTTTTAAATAAAAAACGTTCTTATTCTACCCCCCTTTTTCTAGAATTCGCGTCCGCATACTAAAATTTTCCCGAATTCTCCTTTCTGTGTTGCCGAAGAAGAGGGACTGAACATCTTTTGCAGAGAACACTTTTCGCTACCGAAATTGCAGTTCATCTTTGGACACAGGATAAAACGTAAAGTTACCTTTTCAGCCTGATTTTTGCAATCAAAAACAGCGCACTTACATTTTTAATAATTTAAATAAACTCAAAGACGCAGAAAAATGCACAAACTTCAACACAAATTGTCAAACGGTAAATATCAGGGTTAGACATATTTGAAATAAAACGTGATGTATTTTTGACTAAAATAGTGTATTTTTATAAGATAATTTTTTAGGAATCTGGCAACTCCAAAAATTGACCCGTCCACGTCATCAAGATGGTGGCCATGGCTGATGTCGTAACCTGTATTCTATGAACCTTGGGTAAGACGAGTGAGCGACGAGCGAGCGCTCCGTGTGTACTATACAACATCTGCCTTTTAGTGCATAAAAATGTGTGAATGTATGTCAAAAGATTACCGAGTAGAAATCGGTTGCATGCATTTATGAAGTATGCATGCTGTATGAGTGAAAAAGTGTAAGCAATTCATGAGCGGCCATGAATTTCCCGCAAATAAAGTCAAATCAGGTGAACTGTAAGCGAACGTACTTTGTTGATATTTTAAGTACATTTCTCTATAAATTTGACTACTATACATCATAACAAAATGCTTGTAATATTTTCAGTCTTGTGCAAAAATTTTAGCGAACGGGCTAAACTAATAGGACTTTTATATGATATTGATTTGCATATGTAAATACTTCCGTTTTGTTTGTACTCGTATGTGCCATATATTAAAATGTATCCGAAAAGTAGAATTTACATATGGAAATATATGTATATCGTGTTAGAATGCTACTGTTCCATTAATGCAGCATTAGTACTTTTGCAAGTACTAATTATGTGTATCTTTGTATGCCTGTATACTAGTGGCTTTGCATGTTTAAACATTAATACAGCCATATGCATACAGCAGAAGTACAAGTGTATGGTTACCCTGGATTTGCCCAGAATTGTTTTTCTTTCGGAATTTCTTAGCACTTTTAAACAAACTTTCACCCTGATTCCTACAATCTTTATGAAGAGTCGACCACTTATTTGCATACACGCGATTAATATGTTACGAAAAAATGAACTTTCAAAACAACCAGTCCATTTACAGTTATTTTTTATATTTTTCTTCAAATAGTGCAGCGCCTACTGTTTGCGTAACCATATGGTTACACTGGGCAGATTCGGGTTATAGTACGCATACGCTCTGAGAAACCACACATGTTAAAGGAAATGAAAGTACATGGGTTTCACCCCATGTCTTTATACAAATATGAAAAATACTTTATGTAAAGATGTTATGCTCTCAGCTCTATTTTTACTATAGACGTGATAGCAGCATACGGTAGGCAGCTGTATAGCTTGGGTGTTATGGAGTGAAATGCAATAATAATTTTTGGCACTGCAGGTGTTTTAATTTAGGTTAAAATAAATCCAATAGATTATATAATAGAAGAAATACTATCTAATATCTTATGAATAATCACTCTAATATGATTTCACAGCATTTTTTTAATACTTCAAAGTATCTATTAACATAAATGCATTTTCCAATTAAATTATAATACATTTTATTTTCGACCAAGTTTCGGGTTTTACTTTAAGGCATTCTTGTTTATTGTCATTACAAAAGCTAAGTGAACTGGAAACTGATAAGCACCTACCATTGATATGTTTGCATACCAAATTTCAATTGTATGTGACTTATGGTTCCGAAGTTATGGCTGATTAAAAATTCTACGACTGTGAGATATGCCACGTCCCCTCCTACAAAGTCATTTATATATACCTTACTATAAGCATCTACCATAGATTTGTCTGCATACCAAATTTCAAGTTCATGTGACTTATGGTTCCGAAGTTATGGCTGATTAAAAATTTGCAGGCCTATGGGAGGTGCCACGCCCCCTCGCAAAATTCACACCATATTTGCAAACAAAACCATACCTATAACCTTTCCGGGGTAAAAAGAAATAAGTGTGCAAAGTTTCGTCCGAATCCGTGTAGTGGTTCAAAAGTTATAAGGTAATAAACAAACAGACATTCACATTTATATAGATAGATTATTGTAATAGGCGAAGACTGCGATTCCGCACATGTTTTTATTAGTAACGGAGATATGCCGTCGTTGACCAATTTTGTTGACGTTTTGAGCAATTTTATACAGTTTATAACATCCGCAATAGATACGTTTAAATATCCAAAGTCAGTGGGAGCAGCAATCCCTTCAAGAAGAACTTCACTAATAGTGGACTCATTAGGATCAAAATTGGATGCAA